GGGAAAGAAAAATCTTCCATGACATAAATAGGCTGAAAGAATTCATGTCCACAAAACCAGCCCTTCAGAGAGTTCTTGAAATAATACAAAGAACTGAAGAAAGGAACGACTATACCCAAGGGGTAACACAATTACACCATGAATGCAAACAGAAATCAAAACAACAGGAATCAATACACATTTTTCATTAATAACTTTAAATATCAATGGACTGAACTGCCCAGTCAAAAGAAACAGACTAGTTGAATGGATTAAGAAACAAAACCCATCTTTTTGTTGTCTCCAAGAAACCCATTTCACTTTCAAGGACAGGAACTACCTTAGAGTGAAAGGATGGGAAAAAATATTCCAAGCAAATGGTACTAAGAAAAGAGCAGGTATTGCAATTTTAATATCTGACAAAATAAACTTCAAACTAAAACTAATCAGAAGAGATAAAGTGGGCCACTTCATTCAGATGAAAGGAACAATAAATCAAGAAGATATTAAAATCGTGAACATATATTCACCAAACTCTGGTGCACCCAACTTCATAAAAACAATACTACAGGACTTTAAGACCCAGATTAATCCCAACTCATTAATAGTAGGGGACTTCAATACCCCACTGTCTCCATTAGATAGGTCAGCAGAGCAGAGAGCTAACAGAGAGATGTCTAAATTAAACAATAACATATATCAAATGGACTTAACAGACATCTACTGAGTATTCCACCCAAGAACCAAAGGGCATACTTTCTACTCAGCACCCCATGGAACCTTCTCCAAAATTGACCATATACTGGGGCACAAAACAAACCTCAACAAATACAAAAAGATTGAAATAATTCCATGCATTCTATCAGACCACAATGCAATAAAGTTTACAATCAACACCTGAAGAAGCCCTAATCACCACACAAACACATGGAGATTAAACAACATACTCTTGAATTTCTCAAAAGAGAAATTAAGAAATAAAAGTATTACTGGAATTAAATGAAAAGGACAATACAACACAACAAAACCTCTGGGACAT